TCTTTCTGTTGTTCTGTCGAGGGTGATGAAAGTGTCTCTCTCCACGTCAGTAATGCATCAGCACAAATGCACTTGCTGCTAATGGCTTCGACGCTCCCAAAAAAGTGCTGAAAAACCTCTCAGCTAAAAATAACCCTGCAGGGAAAAAGCACAGATTCACATGTGAAGAAAGGAGGAAGAATAAAGAAAAGAACAGAGAAAATGAGAATATGGTACTGATTAGAAATAGAATTGTTGGGAAATGTTGATGTCTGGGAAATATCATTTTTTTTGTTGTTTTTTTACGTTGTAGGAAGTATACAAGCTTGTTCAGTTGTTTGTTCATTCATTTGTTCATTAATTCATTTGTTCCTTCATTGTTTTACTGAAAATGCTATGGTAGAACAATGTTTTTAGACATTTACCTTATTAATACCATGTTTTTGGACATTTTTTAGGGTCATGCTTTTTCTTAGACATTTACCATAGTGATACCATCTTTCTTGGTCATTTATCTTAGTAATACCTGGTTTGTTTGTTTGTTTTTTACATTTACCATGTAATAATTTTTTGGGGGGGACATTTACCATGGTAATGCCTTGTTTTTTGGACATTTATCTTAGTAATACTGTGAGGTTTTTTTTGGACATTTACCATGGTAATGCCATGTTTTCTGGTCATTTACCTTAGTAATACAGTGTTTTTTGTTTGTTTGTTTGTTTTTTACCATGGTAATGACATGTTTTTTTTTTATATTTGCCCTAGTAATACCATGTTTTTTAGACATTTACCATCTTAATACCATGTTTTTTGGATATTTAGACCTACCTTAACAGTACTATGTTTATTGTACATCTACCATGGCAATACATGTTTTTTTTACATTTATCTTAATAATACTATTTATTTGGACATTTACTATGACAATACCATTATCTGGACATTTAGCTTAGTGATAACATTTTTTGGGACATTTACCATAGTAAATGATTGACTTGCATGGAATTAAAATTGAAATGTTTATCAATGTAAATTATAATTAGCTTTCTGCTCTTTCCTCTAGTCTATGAGTGTAATCTTACTGCTGTAATCTGTATGGAGAATCTATCTGTCAGTCATCCAAGTCCCCGCCCCCTTGTTGCCATGGAGACACAGACACACCTCTAGGTTTCCATCCCCAACAGGCTGAGCCAATCCAGTTAACCAGTGCAGGATCGGTCATGGATTGGTCAGGTCTGTGAGCGCTGCTCTAAGCTCAGCTGCGTTCAGCTGGTGCCTGTCTGCTGCCTCTCATTACACACTGATCTCTCCCTGCAGTCTCTCTGTTTACTGTCTCTCTCTCTGTCATTGGCTCTACCTGCCTCAGAAGGGAAGCGAACAACACTGCTCAAGGTTTTAAATAGGGGTGAAAAACATTCCCCCTTCAACTTTGGATTTTTAAAGTCTTGGATTTAAACCCAAGAGTTTTTTTTTTTGTAAATTATTCCTTATGGAAGGGGTCTGACTCTCCAGCCTGTTGCTGCATATCTCCTGGTGGAGGTGATTGAGCTGTCGGGTGGGGGGGCTTGGGGTGGGGGTGCCGATTGCCGTCGGGAACACAGTCACCAGGGGGGCGAGGGACACGTGTCGCATGCTGCAGATGGTACGGACCCTCGCCCAGTTCACCATCGCCCTGGAGGAGATGGTGAACTGGGC